GGCTGAGCCTGGTTCTCTTTTAGTCTTGATTACAGGCAGATTGTCTCTTTCCCAAGACATCTGGTTGGCTTATTATTTGGCAGTCTTTTGACTGACTGCAGATAAATGAATTTGCTGCTATACTTTTTGTAAAAAGCCTGCATGATGTAGCATATATGACTACAGATGCCTTTAAATTGTGGTGGTTCTTTTTTTAAAGAATGGGGGACTATTAAAATGGAGGTATATGGGCCAGTCAGTCCTCAGCTGCCATAAGTCTATATAATTTGAACTTCAAAAATCTGACTTGTTCCTGGCTTCACATGTTGGAGCGTGTCTGGATGAAGGAAAAGGACTGTCTCATTTCTGTGCTGAGAAGAGGGCAAAAAAACCCCCAGCCCAACCCACAAAGAATCACATGCTGCTCTACTTATTTTACCTTGTTCCATTTGACTTGGTATCAGAAAGGCCATATGTTTTCATTCTTTGTATTTTGCCCCAGAACGATCATGGAGTTCCTCTCAGTTTTCCTCAGCTCCGAAGACATAATATCTGGCCTTAACAAGTGGAAAAATACAATTAAAGTTGACAGCGGTCAGAACACATGGCTGTGTTTTTAGCATTAATACGTTGTGCATATGTACCCAACATCCAAGCTGCTTCCCCCTCTCCAGTTTGAAATTCCAAAACAGATGATGCCCAAATATTTGTGGCAGCATCCAGAACACCAGAGCGCTACAAAATGCAGCACTTGGCATGGAGTCACAATGTAATGGATGGACACGAGCATAATTTTGTTGAGAGCAACCAGTATTTTCTGCCTAGCTGGAAGCGAGGGAGAGAGACTGGTGGGTGAATGTCCCAGGGAAGTTAAAAATTCTGGCCTGAAGTAGTAAGTAGGAAATGAGACATTTTGAAGAACCACACTAAGCTAGCTGCTGCGGACTGTCTCCAGCTTAATTTTTTGTTCGTTATTTATTACATACAATTGAAATCAGGGTATTACATCCTGTTTGGTTGTAACGGCTTAGTTAGCTCAGACCTCCAGGACTTATGAAGGACAAACCTTTTGGAACACTTTTTAAAAATAGCTGCTGTTTAAGAAAGAAAAGCTGTAGTTTTGCGGTTTTTTAATGCAATATTTCAAAGCCATTTACAGAAAATAAATAGCTAATAGCTATTTACTTCAAATCTTTGATTTGAAAAAATTTTCAGCTCAAAGTCCTGGCTGATGCGCTGCAGACTCCTTGTTTTGCCAGCTACTAATTTGTTTTCTTTTTAATCTAAATGTTGTACAATTTTTTGTTCCGTTCAGCTCTTCATTATTTTACAATGGAACAGTCGAACTTCTGTCTTGATGTTATTCTTTAATTCTTTGGCTACTTCTCAACCCTGAGCACAGAGATCTCCCTTGGCAGTAATTTCCCATGTGAAGAGCAGCATTCAGACCTGGGTCTGAGGCTCTAGGGCCCTTGTCAGCCTTTGCTATACAATACTGAAGAAGGGTTTTTGTAACTTCAGAACTGCACTGTCCTTCCTAACTTACTTCACCCTAACCACAAAGCAGTCCTCATACAGCAGCAAGCTTTTGGTGGCTGTCAGACTGAAGCTAGCATCCTTACTGTGCACGATATTGTGATTTGAGGTCAGCTCCTTCCCACACAGCTGCATTAAAGCTGCAGCTCCCGTGGATACACAGATGGGTGTGCCTGCACAGGGAATACCAGGCTGGGATTGCCCAAAGCTTCCCAAATTGGATCCTGCCCTGGAAAGGGGTTGTGGATAGCATCAGAAAAGCTCCCGAGCACAACTGCTTTCATGGAGAAGGCTGTGTCTGCCAGGGCTGGAACAACTGCTGGGACAGTCTGCTTCCCAGCGGCAGCTACGGCAAGTAGCGGGAGACTGTACGTCTCGTCCGTTTGTCCTCAAAGGGAGCTGGGAAAAGTAAGGAAAAACTATGAAGGTGCTAATGCACCCCTCCTTGACCCTGTTTTTTTGAAGACTGTAACACCATTCTAGCCTGAGGCAACCTCACACATTCCGTAATGTCAGACGGAGTGGCAACATGCAGGGGATAAACTGATCAAGGTAGGCTCCTGCAGAATTTGCAGCCCAGCTTTCACCGGCCAGGCTGGATTCTCTCCTTACTGTTCAAAGCAGCATCAGACTGTAATTGTTTAACAAGGGCAAGTATTTGACTCTATGATGCTCCACTATCATTTGAGAAGAGTTTTCTGTCACTAAAACCAGTCACCGGCAAAAAGTTCTTGTCGTGGGGGGCATTTGAGCTGAAAGTAGGTTTCTTGCTCTTTGTGGAGGGATCATTCTGCAATGATTTGAGGAAGAAATATACTGTTACTGCCATAGGTCAGCTCCAGGTCTGTGTGCTGCTTAAGTTCATAGCACCATGATCAAGTCATTCATCAGCCTGTTCTGGCCCTTTGCACAAAATAGATGTTGCTTTGCAGGAGTAAATGTACTAGCAGGAAAAAGAAAATGAAATGAAAATCTGAGCCTGTTTAGAACAATGTATGACCAACCACCGAGTCTTGTGCCAGTATGTTTACCTTGGCAGGCCCCTCTCTCCCCCACTGGAAGAACCAAGTTCTCTCTCTACTATGGGAATTCTTTTGTAGATGTTAAAAAAAAAAAAAAAAAAAGACAGAAAAGAAAAACAAAACAACTACCCTGGAGCAGATCATTCATCATACGCAGAGTGGGAGCATGAAAGGGGATTTGCTTTGACCTAGTTACAAAAACAAAAACAAAGAGACTTTCTCTAATTGCCCAAATGACTCAAGTGGGACTGGGTGTCAAAAGCAACAAATCTCTGCTTCCTTCAGAGCTGTATGTTAATACAGGGCACCAGGTTCCAACCTGTTCCTGTTCAAGACTTTGGGAGATGTCTCTGAGCCCAAGGAAGCCCAGGTAAGCAAAAGGCAGCCAATTCTATATACCTGCATGTACAAACAGTACCAGGAGCCAGGAAAAACATGTTTCGTAAATTATAACAAAGACAGTGGCTTTAAATGCTGAGAGTATCAGGGCTTCAATGTTTGTTTTGCCAAGAGCTGCAGACAAGCAAGACTTTCTTGCTTTACCAACCTGGTACTGCTGTAGGAAGGGCCTGGCTTTCTGTCCAGCAACATTTGCAGGGCTCCGATTGATCCACTACCCCTAACTTTTTATTTCAAAGGAGTCTGAGGGCAACTATGCATCCAAAATGCCATAGGAGCGAGGTGCCCAGCTTTTCCAGGCACCAGTGAAAAGCCCCGTGTTGGTGCATTGCTATGGCAGGGTGTAGGGTAAAAAAAGCAAAGGCAAATACAGACCGGGCTGAGGAATAAGAGCTAGGAAGCAGGAAGAGAGGAAATGGAGGGGGACAAGGGGCATGAGTAGAGGCAAGGGTTTTATGTAGATATATGGGAGAAGAAAGTTAGCGAAAGAAAAGAGAAGGCCATTCATCAGCTGCAGAAAGCAGCCTGGAAAAATCAGCATACAAGACCTCTGGGGCTGCCCGATTACAGCCAGGTAAAAAGTCGCCCATTTGGCATCTCATTGTACAGCATTTCCATGACAGCAGTAGCTGCCCGGTACACCTGTGAAAGTAGCAAAAGCTACTTCTGTTAGGAGCTATTGGGCTGGCCCTGCATCGGAAGTACGTCGATTTAGCCAGCTGAGGACCTAGCCTGCAATTCTCGCCCAGGGAGCACTGGCAGTGTCCTCAGTGCTGCAGAGAGAGGGGCAAGCGGGAGGTTACGGAGACGGGACTTATCTGAACCCCAAATAAAGTCCCGGTTCCATTCAGGTTTAGAGGGAAGGTTCACAAGAGTTTGTATTTTTTCCCCAGCTGGTCCACCATCTATTTTAGAGGGAACTGTTTGATCTCTTTCTGTTTTGTGTTTCTTTCAGTTTCCCAAACAATAGGAGGAAGCTCGCCTGTTACGTGTGCTTGGGCCCCAACCAAGTTTTTCCCAGCTGGAAAAATCACTCCATGAACTACAGAGGGTTGGTTTTTTTTTCAGCAGTAATTACAAGATTCCCAGTCCCCTTATGCATCTTGTAAGGTAGGTACAGGCTGTCTAAGGGGAACAATGGGACATTCCTGAGTGCTTAAACAACTGCTGTTTCCCCACCATCGCCCCCTCCAAAACCCGAGGAGGGCTTAAGCACGTTTGAGCTGTTCTGCTCAAGGTTACTGAGACCTCAGCTGAAAAAACACAGGGAGGTGCCCAGCTCCATGTAAATACCCCTGCTTTGGTGAGTAACATACCTAGGCTCTTCCCATTACATGGTTATATACACAAACACCTCAAATTCACCAGACCAGCTGTGAGGACTAGGCGAGCGCACAGCGAGTATCTGTGCGAGGGATAGCTGGCAGCAGTCACCACCTCGAGTAGAGATGCACCACACAGTATAGCTCAGGCAGAGGCCAGGCCATAACTAGCCTGGTAGACAAACTTGCCCAAGGGACAAGCACGGATCTCTTAATAGAAAGGAGACCCCATGCTTGATCCAAATGTTCATCCACAGCAACAAGCGGGACCCACCCATGAGGACACACTCAGTGAGCTGTGTCTCCCTCTGACAGGCAACCTTCCCGCTGATCCCGACTGTCCCACCCCGTCACACACCAGATGAAAATATGGATTACCATTCCATTGGATGAAAGATGTTAAGATGGATGGAAAAAAGAGCATTAACTACAACTATAACGCTAGGAGGGAGCAGAAACACAAACAATTAGGCTATGGAATGGCTTTGACTGATTGCGAACATCCCCTTGCCCTGCTGGGGGTGAGCACCTTCTTTTGGGGACCCTAATGTTTCCATTATTCTCACACAGTTGGGATCTTGGAGCACCTGGGCACTAAGGAAGCAGATGGCTGTGCTGGCCAGGACCACCATATGCAATGGAGAGAAGGTAAAGAGGGGTCTTCTCTAGCCAGCAAGAACCAGGGCTAAATCTCTCATCACTTCCTCCTAACACTAAGTGAAAATCTTCCACAGCTCTTGTCTTACCTGTACAACTGTGGGCAAGACCTCTTCAGAGCAGCAGAGGACAGCCCCAGCTTGTTCTGGTTTCTCAGCCGTGTCTTCCTCATAAGATCTCTCATTCTCCCCCAAGCATGGCTCTCACGCTAGGGAGCAAAAACAAACCACAACTTGAGGAACCAGAGGCTAGTTGCTGGCAGACTTCATCTGGCCAACATACAATACTTCAGGGTACTCCAGGGTGGTGGGAAGAAGGGACCTTCTTTATTTTGGACTGATAGGAGTCAGGTCCCACAAAAGAATTTTTAACACCCTGCAATGATGACTGGTGGCCAGCCTGTACCTGTATAGGACACGATGAGACAGGATGGATCAACCATCATTAATACCATCCTTTTTGTATTTTACTTGGTAACATTTCCGTGTCCAGGACCCTGCTGTTCTTTCTGACCTAAGGTTTCAGAGAGTGAGGGCACTTTGCTGAGTAGCTGCCTAAAGGCACGTTTTACCTCATTGTTGTATTGTACTAAAGGAAAAGAAAAGATCACAGCTTGGTTTCCTACCACGGGGAGGGGGGGCCCGAGGTCGGGCTTTACAACAAAAACAACCCAAAAAACCACCTTGTCTCCCCTCTCATTTCTATTAGGCCAGGTGCATTAGTATCAGCCCTTTTCAAGGTGGTGATTTTTGTTGACTGTAAATTAGAAGAGATCAAGCTTTTGTTTCCCTGTCACGTCTACAAGCCCCAGCTCCTGGGCACTTACATTTGAAATGCTAATAGAGATTATCAGGAGGTCAGGGAGTCTCAGGAGACACGCGCCCACCCCACCGC